AAAAAAAAAAAAAAAAAAAAAATTGTATGTCATATTTCTGGGACTTCCTTTATGCTAAAAGTATAACAATATCCATGACTTGATGAATTATATAAAGAAATATTATCGATTACAATAAAAAATGCAGTTAAAAAATAAGGAAGTGATATAACCCTAAAGGAAACACTCTAGTAAGTTCCTGGAGTCCAAAGAACAAGCAAGATGCGAAAGACTCATCTCCCCAAAATTGCCAAAAACTATGGGAGGCAGGGAAGGCAGTGGGGCTTTAGGGGGCTGCTTACAACAAAGGTTTAGCACCCCCCCCATAAATTCCATTGCCCTTCCCCAAAATAACATTAAAATCAGTAAAGTGAGTGTGCTTGCTATGCACAGGCAGCTTCGAGAATAATCCTTTAGCCATCTCTTCCAAACAGAACACCACCGTTAAGCATCTATAGAGAAATGCTGGCACCATCTCTGGGTGAATTGGGTAGACTGGGGACCCCCTAGCCTCGATTTACTGCCTGTCAAAACTACTGTGGTGCCATGATTCCCACTAATTCCTGGTGCGGTATTTCCTGGCCAGAGACACAAGCTAAGCTCCCAGCTCAAGTCAAGCCACAGCTCTGCACTGACAAGGTCTTTGTGCTGTTTCTTAGATCCAAGGGTTGCCGTTTGGGAACTGCCTGCCCGTCAGCGACGGCCCCTTCAACAACAGCACTGGGATTCCTTTCTTCTACATGACAGCCAAAGACCTCGTGGTGGCCGATCTGATGAAGAACCCCATGGCCTCGCTGACGCTGCCGGAATCAGAAGGAGAGTTCTGCAGGTAGACAAGGGGTGGACCCCACCCGCACAGGTCCTGGGGAGTTTTTGACAGAGAGTCGGTGGAGGGGGGAGTTCTCGCTGGGTCACATGGCTTTGACAGAGCCCAGAGATGCAAACCGATGTTTTTGCCCTTGAAATCAGATACATTAGAGTTTCACCACTCACCAAGCAGTGTGATTTGTAGCAAGTATTTAACCTTCGTGAGCTTCTGTTTCTTCATCTGTAAAACGGGAATAATAGAGTTATTGCAAGTGTTGCAAATAGATGCCAAGTCCTTGCTCAATACTGAGGTGAGAAAGTGTCAGCGCTTGTCATTGTGGAAAAGGGAGAGGGTGGGTGGTGGTTGGTAGCGAAGGAGCCAGTGGTTTGTCTCCCTGGCATATGCAACACAGAGTCTATTTATTTATTATTTTTTCTATTTATTTCTATCCCCTCACCCCTGAGAGATGTGTGCATTAAAGAGCCAGCATTTCTTCGATGCACTTTTTCCAAAACTCTCTAAAGGAAAAATCTTATAACAGCATTTAGGCACAGATAGAACATTGATCCAGACACTTTTGTCTGAATTCAAAATGCAAAGCTTGAAGTCATATCCTGCAGGGGAGATTGCCTGCACCGAGGCCTGGGGTGGGTCTTTTAGCCTCTGGGGCTTCAGTCACTTCACCTGTAAATGAGTGATGCTTTAGAAAATCAATAGACACTCATTGTGAAAACTAGAATAAAAGTGAATTTGTATAATTCAAAAAAAGAAAAAAGAAAAGAAAATCAATAGGCTTCATTCTACCTCTGAAATTCTGTTACTCTTTAAGCACACATGGAAAACACGATAACCAAACCATGTCTTCTTTCTTACGGAGACTAATCAAAGCAACTATATGGTGTAAAGTGTGCCCTGGATAGGCCCTCCTCACTTCCTCTTGTTTTCCTCAGTCATGAGAGACTCAAGCAGAAACAGTTCAGCTGACCCCCTTACCCATCGGGTTATGGCAAGAAGCCAGGAAAAGACACATTTCCTTTTTCATGGAATATTCTCCCTATTCGTAGTCAGTCAAGCTTGCAACACTAGAAGTGTTTTCCCAGGATGCTTTTCCAAACTTCCCAGGTTTTCCTAATTCCCGGCATCCTAAAGATCCCAGACTCCACAACACACCTGCTCTGGGGACAGACAAGAGAATGCAGATCCAGAACAAAGTGGCAGCAACACTCCAGTTGTGAAAGCATCTGTCTTCTGCCAGGCTGTAGATAGACATTCGCAGGAACCGGGGATGGGATCAGTGAGAAACCCATAAAAGAGGTCCTCACAGGAGACGGGTCTCAGGGTGACTTCCTTCAGCTCCCAGGGAGGAAACAGATAATGTCAACCCCTGTGTGCGTGCTGGCTAACTGGATGAGCCAGCTCCTGGCTGGAGGTGACTACCCAGGACTGAGGGCATGAGCATCTCGGCATACCTGTAACTCTGGCCAGGGAGAGGAAGGATGAGATATACTCACTTGTACCCCTACATTTGGATATTCTTGTAAAGCTCTGTTTCTCAGAACTGTTACCCGCCCCGCCCCTCCCCCCCCCCACACTGTTTAAGCTTCGCCGGGCTGGGCGTGATGGCTCAAGCCTGTAATCTCAGCACTTTGGGAGGCCGAGGCAAGATGTTTGCCTGAGCTGAGGAGGTCGAGACCAGCCTGGGCAACTTGGTGAGACCTCATCTCTACAATAAAAAAAAGCAAAATAATAATAATAATAAGCTGGGCGTGGGAGCACGCGCCTGTAGTTCCAGCTACTTGGAAGGCTGAGGTGGAAGGATCCCCTGAGCCCAGCAGGTGGAGGCTGCGGTGACTGTGAGCGTGCCACTGCACTCCAGACTGGGTGACAGAGTGAGACTCCAACTCAAAAACAAGAAAGACAGATACCGGAGACCCAAATAAGCCAGCCAAGCAGGAATTTCCCAGGGCTACCAGAGCGTAGTGAGGCATCTGGTAGCAGAGTCCCTGCCTGCCCAGACAAGCACCTGTGTAGAATTTCAGAGGATGCCTGGCAAGGTGTCAGCAAGTGGCCTCCTCCTGCCTGACCCCTGAAGAGGTTGCTAGTGAGACCGGGGATCCTTGTCAAGTGCGTCAAAGCTTCAAAGCATTTCCCACAGGAGAGGGAGTGATTTTAAAAATGCCCATTTCTTATGATGGTGATGACAGGTCAAGGCCACCTGATCCTTTCACCTTCAGAAGGCAACGCGTCTCAAAAGTGGAAGTTGCTTTCATTCCATGAAGCAGCCATCCTTGTGAATTGAACATTTGCCCCAGCATTTTTATTGTCACGCATGGGTGCTTGCTGTGTGCTCATATTCCTCTGCTGGTCTGTGTATCTGGGGAGGACGTGGATCTTCCCTGTTTCATCCTAAGGGGGGAAGACAAAGCCAGACTAAGCCTTTCCGTGTGCTGCCTCCAGGGCCCCTATTGGCTTGGAGAGCCGTGTTGAGCTGAGGAGTCCTCAGAAGCTGAACCACAGCCACGTCCTGACAGGGAGGAAGCAGAAGGGCCACTGACCTCTGAGGAAGAAAAGAGGGTGTCTCCACCGCCACTTTCTGTGGCCCACTGGGCACCCCCGGGAGAGGGGACGTTCCAGCGGCAAGCCTGCCTCTGTATTTATCAAGGATAACCTCGGTTTCTGCAAACTCTGCACCAGCAGAATTCCACCTCCACCAAAGACACAGCCCAGAGCAGGACCTCCACCAAACTGGTGAGAACGACTCAAGCCCAAGGGTAGGAGGCTTGCAAGTCTGATCCTGCCATAAGAGCAGGCTGAACTGGCTCTCTGTGCTTGCAGAGAGCTCTTTGGTATACAAGGCAATTGCATATGTAATGTTTGTGTATTTAGTTAGCAGATACATAGATGATAGATTGGTGATAGATGATAGCTAGATGGATGATAGATAAATGATTGAAGAGGTAGATAGATGATAGATACCTAGATAGAGGATAGATATATCAATGATTGAAAATAGATCAATAATCTGATCGAAACACAAAGAGCATATTTTATTTTAACAATGCATTCATCAATTATGAGTCAGAGGGAAATTTTGAACTGTGTGGGTCCTATATATCAATCCTGATACATCTGAGGTGATAAGTATATCGCAGCACAAAAGCAAAGGCCTCAATCATGGAAAAACAGGCTTTCACGAGCGAGTTAGAAAGATGTCTTTGGCAGTGTTGTCTCACCAGTCCTGTAGTTCTCATTTATTCCTCTTCCTTTCTGCCCCCCAGGATGCCTGATGGACCTTACCCTCTCCTCCCCTTCTCAAGTGCATTTATCTAGTCTCTCTTCTCCCGAGTGTCTGGTTAATCTGGTTGATCTTGTCGCATAGTATAATGTCAGGTGTATAGTAGGTGTTCAATAAATGTTTGCTTAATTGAGGCGAACTAAAGAAAATAGATTGATGAAAGATAGATGGATGACAGATATATGATAAATAATAGATAGCTAGACAGCTAATAGACAGATGATTGAAAATAGATTGATGATAGTTGATACAGATGGCTAGACGATAGATTGATTATAGATAGATGGTTGATAGATATATGATAGATGATGGCTAGACAGATGATAGGTGAATAATTGAATATAGACTGATGGTAGATTAGAGAGTTGATATAGACAGATGATGATAAGTTGATTATAGATAGATGATTGATAGCTAGCTGATAGATAGACAGATAGATGATAGATTCTTTCACACATTCAACAATTGTCTCCTCTAAGAATATATATTACGGTTGTCCCTCTTGAACTCCTTAATCTACTCTACCACCTTGAATTCATCCTCAATCCAGCAGCTGGGGTCATCTTGAAAATCCCGGTCAGATCCTGGCATTCCTCTGCTAAAACCCCATCAGGAAGAGAAATAATAAACCTTATTATGGCCTAGGAGGCCCCGCATGGCCAGACGGCTGCCTCTATCTCAGAACAGAAAACAGTGTCTGTCCTTTGCCGATCGACTTAGTATTTGATGATAACTAGTTTTAGCAGATTAAAAGCATTAACCTGATAGCTTGTTGCAGTCAAAGCTAGTATATATGCTTTGGCACGTAGCTAAGAAGGGCTTTTCCCTTGGTGACCCCCACACGTAGGCTGACATATCATGTCACTCAAAAATGATATTTAGGCCCTTTAACTGGCCTGAGTATTAAATATAAAGTTAGATCTGAATTGAAATTGGTGAAAGACACTGAGTCATGGGAAATTTAATGAAGAAAACACACAGCAGATGTAATGTTCTTTCCTGAAGCTGGGAAAAGCCCGTATCTTGAGAATGATGAAAGGAACAAACATCTTTTCCCATTTTACAGACTAATAGAGGCCTTAAAGAACTTGTAAATGAAGCTGTAAAGGCCAGCCTGGGATACTCCACCCTACCTAGTTAGGAATTTTCCCCAAGACCTTTCATCACCCTAATCCACTGCTCTCCGGACTTTCCCTAAAATGTTACAGTAGAGTTACTCGATTTAACCAATCCCAGTTGTCCTGACCCCTGTCCAGACCATAATGAATTGGGTGCTATCACCCAGCCCTTCTTTCTGGAGGTGGTAATTTGGAAAATGAATCTGACCAAATCACAAGTAGGATCTGACTTTCAGTGCATACCAGAAAAGGACTAGGTTGATGGATTCTATGGGGCAAAGTTCCTGGACTAGAATGAAATATCCTACGTATTCAGCATTTTCCCACTGGAGAGGAGAGAGGAGGGTTATTCAAGGGTTCTCTGGCTCCCTGGTTGACTGGAGGGAGGATACTCCAAGAGTCATAAGGATAGAGTAGGTGAGCACAGCCATCTAGATTGACATACATTTTATACAGATTGCACGTAGGCTGTTAGAAAGTATGGACTCTTGCAAATTTAGAGTAGAAGAGTGTCTTTGAACTGCTTGGAAGGCAGAGAGGAAAGGGACACATTAATGACCTTGACAGCTTTATCTTTTCCCCAGCACAAGGTCTGGAAGATCTTAGGG